GCTGTTATAGAATCTACCGACTGTTGTCGGGTTCCCATACAATCAACAAATACATTCACGCCTGGATTCTTCACAAAATGAGCAAAGAGAAAAGTTCGAATTAACTTCCAAAAATAACTCCCTCGTGGAGGTCAAGGTCCCATTCACGGTGTTCACTGTATTTATCCATGCGCGAATATGGTTCCGGGGGAAAATCGAAACAATTTCAAATCTAACTCTCAGCTCAGATTTCTATTGAAAAACTGGAACCACCCTATAGACATATCAAACGCAATTGTATTGATACTAAATTGTGGAATAAATTTGAAGTGTTTGTTAAAATGTCAAAGTACTACTTTGTTTGCCAATCAGCACGCGACAATACGCTGTTCAAACTATTGAACGAAATTGTGTGGACTGTCCATAAGGCGGGCATTTTTAATTTTAATTATAAATTATAAGTTAAAAAAGAACATAAGAGGCAGAGAAAACGTAAATATGAGTATTGAACTGTTTTTGTATGATATTTATTATCTATTTGAATGTCAAAGCTTTGCAAAGCAAACAAATCATAATGCGCTGGCGCGCATTATGTTGTTTGCTTGCAAAGCTGTGTCATTCAAATAGATCATAAATACCATACAAAAACAGTTCAATGCTTAATTATTTCATTAACTGTAGACGTACATATTTTAGCGCTATGCTTATCTTGGTGCTTCAAACATTTTACTAATTTATGATTGTGCTAATCGAAGTTTCTTTATGTAGTATTTCTATTGCACTTATGATTAATGCACCAGTTCATCAATGCGCTTACCAGTTAAATTCGATAAAAACCCCCGCTAAAATAAGAAAGTATACGGTATTGTGTATGCGTTATCTCATAAAGGTGGGAATCCGACATGTTTACATCATACGTTGTCAGATATTTGGTTGTACTGACAAAATTGTTTTGTAACCTAAAACATACCATCCAATTATTTATGTTTGGGATAAGCCAAATAGAAATGGAAAAAATTAGGTCACATTTTGCATTATATAAGTGCCAAACAACTTTGCTAATGAAAAACATTATACGTCAGGCCATTGAAATGTAGCTTTCTGAACTAGTATTTGAAATACAGAAAGGATTAAAAATGGTGTCCTACTGTAAAACTCGTAGCTATTGTGATTGGGTAAAATTCCTAAAACCACATTGTGACTAGCATAACAAGGGTTTATTGATGCAAAATTATGATAAATCTGCACTGCAAGTACACTGCAAAAACTGTATGTAAACCACTTAAACTCCTTTTTAACTTATCGTTATCTACTTGTATTTATCCTGAAATTGGAAGTTTGCTGAAGTCATGCAACTTTTTAAGAAGGGTGATAGGCATTCTTCCTCTAACTATAGACCGATTTCTCTTTTGTCTACGGTTGGTAAAACAATTGAAAGGGTTATCTTTAAGTACTTGCATAATTATTTCTTTGAAAATTCTCTATTTCATCAGTACCAATCAGGATTTATGCCTGGCCACTCAGCTGTGAATTAATTAATCGAATTATATCATAATATTTGTCTTGATCTAGAAGTAAAGAAGCATACTTGTTTAGTTTTCTGTGACATCTCAAAAGCTTTTGACAGAGTCTGGCATAATGGTTTATTAGTTAAGTTAAAATCATATGGTATCTCAGGAAATTTCCTTTCTTGGATCGAAATCTACTTAAGCAACAGAACAGAGAGTGTTTATAAACAATTCTTCTTCTGATGCTGGTTTGATATGTGCTGGAGTTCCCCAGGATTCAATTCTTGGACCATTGTTTTTCTTAATTTATATAAATGATATCGCCGAAGTACTAGAATCTACAACACGTCTCTTTGCTGATGATACGTCTTTAAAAACTTCTTCATCTTCTTGTCTAGATATACAAACAGTTTTGAATAGGGACCTGGAAGCTTTAAATAGGTGGGCTAACACTTGGCTTGTTAGTTTCAATCCAAATAAGACGGAAGTTATTTTGATATCAAATTCAAATGATATAGATGAAGATCTTGAACTGATTTTTGATTGAAATATTTTGAATTTTAACAGTGTGCATAGGCACCTTGGAGTTTCATTCAATTCAGATGCAAAATGGTCAGATCATGTAAGTGAAATCTTTAAATCGGTAATGATAAAAATAAATATTTTGTACCCCCTCATTACCTACGTGGTGACAGAACACTAAATATTCTTCATACCAGACTAAGACACGAATGCAGTTCAAACTTGGTCCAGGACTCCAATTGTATAAATTGGGGCTACCATTGCGAAAATGCCTATCACTTCTTCTTTGAATGTCGTACTGTACTTTTTTAGGTCACCTGAGCTTTAGCTATTTTCCTATTTTCCAATTTTGGTAATAAAATATGTTTAAAGTCAAGCTTGATAAAGCTGTGCTATTATTGTTCCTCCGGACGCTAATATCTATGTCAATGTGTGTCCTTTCTAGGATGTCAAGTTTAAGTTCACATGTGTACAGTCGTCGAAAAATGTAAAGGTGACATTGCACCTGTCCAGCTTGCCCAGACCTCCAAACAGCATACGGACAAGTGTCTCAAAGATGATCACACTGCCAGGTACGTGTTTAACCGTTTTTACGTCATATACTTTAAGTCAATTACACTATGCAGTAGACGTTATTTTTCATGTTTTATTTTCACAAGGACATGGTGATTAGCATTTATACAAATACTGATTAATTCGGTTGATACTACATCATCACATTATAAGGTAATGATAAACACGTGTCATCAAGCACTATCGTACCTATCAATAGATGCCATGTTTCCACAGGCTCCCGTCCGCATTGGAACCCTCAGATCGACACCGAGGTGGAGCAGGGTCCTGATAGTACGTCAAGCCTCAAAGTCAGATTCCAGCCACTGTACCCAGGGGCGGCGGCTCATCATGTTATTCTGACAAAGAATAGCAAATCAGTCAACCGTACCCTCATTAAGGCGGTATGTCCTTTTTATACACGTTCATCTAGGCAAAATGTGTCACTTTTCTACACGTTCATCTAGGCAAAATATGTCACTTTTCTACACGTTCATCTAGGCAAAATGTGTCACTTTTCTACACGTTCATCTAGGCAAAATATGTCACTTTTCTACACGTTCATCTAGGCAAAAGGTGTCACTTTTCTACACGTTCATCTAGGCAAAATATGTCACTTTTCTACACGTTCATCTAGGCAAAAGGTGTCACTTTTCTACACGTTCATCTAGGCAAAATATGTCACTTTTCTACACGTTCATCTAGGCAAAAGGTGTCACTTTTCTACACGTTCATCTAGGCAAAATATGTCACTTTTCTACACGTTCATCTAGGCAAAAGGTGTCACTTTTCTACACGTTCATCTAGGCAAAATATGTCACTTTTCTACATATCAATTTGGCCATGTTACAACATATTCATATAAATCACCAAACAACACTCCTACCAATTAGGTGGCTTCATTATAGCGTTATATGTCGCAAATCTGCATCCGCATTATGGCAGTATTTCACGTATCACTTATAACACCCTAATTAAGGTGGTCATTCACTGATCTACACCCTCATTAAGGCGATATTAAGTTTTTACACCCTGATCAAGGCGGTATGAAGTTTTTACAACCTGATCAAGGCGGTATTATGTATTTATTTACATCCTCATCAAGGCGTTATTAGTTATTTAATTACACCCTCATCAAGGCGGTATTGAGTATTTATTTACACCGTCATTAAGGCGGTATAAGGTATTTATTTACTCCCTCATCAAGGCGGTATTAAGTATTTATTTACACCCTCATCAAGGCGGTATTAGGTGTTTATTTACACACTCATCAAGGCGGTATTAGGTATTTATTTACTCCCTCAATAAGGCGGTATTAAGTATTTATTTACACCCACATTAAGGAGGTATAAGGTATTTATTTACTCCCTCATCAAGGCGGTATAAGGTAATTATTTACACCCTCATCAAGGCGGTATAAGGTATTTATCTACACACTCATCAATGCGGTATTAGGTAATTATCTACACACTCTCAAGGCGGTATAAGGTATTTATCTACACCCTCATCAATGCGGTATTAGGTATTTATCTACACCCTCATCAAGGCGGTATTAGGTAATTATCTACACACTCATCAAGGCGGTATTAGGTAATTATCTACACACCCATCAAGGCGGTATTAGGTGTTTATCTACACACTCATCAAGGCGGTATTAGGTATTTATCTACACACTCATCAAGACGGTATAAGGTATTTATGTACACACTCATCAAGGCGGTATTAGGTATTTATTTACACACTCATCAAGGCGGTATTTGGTTTTTATTTAAACACTCATCAAGGCGGTATTAGGTATTTATTTACATCCTCATCAAGGCGGTATAAGGTATTTATCTACACACTCATCAAGGCGGTATTAGGTATTTATCTACACACTCATCAAGACGGTATAAGGTATTTATGTACACACTCATCAAGGCGGTATTAGGTATTTATCTACACACTCATCAAGGCGGTATTAGGTTTTTATTTACACACTCATCAAGGCGGTATTAGGTATTTATTTACATCCTCATCAAGACGGTATAAGGTATTTATCTACATACTCATCAAGGCGGTATTAGGTATTTATTTACATCCTCATCAAGGCGGTATTAGGTATTTATTTATACACTCATCAAGGCGGTATAAGGTATTTATCTACACACTCATCAAGGCGGTATTAGGTGTTTATTTACACCCTCATCAAAGTGGTATTAGGTATTTATCTACACACTCATCAAGGCGGTATAAGGTATTTATCTACACACTCATCAAGGCGGTATTAGGTAATTATCTACACACTCATCAAGGCGGTATTAGGTGTTTATTTACACCCTCATCAAGGCGGTATAAGGTATTTATCTACACACTCATCAAGGCGGTATTAGGTATTTATCTACACACTCATCAAGGCGGTATTTGGTGTTTATTTACACCCTCATCAAGGTGGTATTAGGTATTTATCTACACACTCATCAAGGCGGTATAAGGTATTTATCTACACACTCAGCAAGGTGGTTATTCACTTATCGACAGGCTCATCAAGGTCGAAACCCATTTAACTATACCCTTATTATGGTAGTATTAGTTATTTATTTGCAGCTAGTAAAAAGGGTTTCAAAATGAACGCATGAGAGTTACCAAATTGTTGATATTCTGAGTGTGTTTGTGTCGTTTTTGAAGAAACACATGCTGCTGTTGTTATTTAGGAGGTATTAATGTTATCGTAAGACCGGGGAGTCATACGTGATATCGATTGTACTCTTCTATCGGTGGTTCTGACACGTTTCCAAGGAGAAGATTGAAGTTGTTTACATGTATTGGGGTAAAAACAATCCGCACACTAGTCTGTTGGGAGCGCTTTAGGCATACAGTGACCAACAGTTATACGTATTACATCAGTATAAGGTCAGGGGAACGGGAATACCCTAGGATTTGTAACAAGAGAACACATTAGCTATAGGTATATATTTCAGTTGTTTCCGTCTGTACATCCGAAACTTTAATTGGCGTATTTTGGAAACAGCTAATTTGTAGTGAACAGCGAAAGATTATGATAGATACTTGGTTATAGCCACGTTGTATTATTAAGCGCTATTTTAAGCTACGCGTCTTGTGGATCAGACTGTCAAATGTCATTAGCAGTGACACCGATAACAAACCTACCAGCACCAGCCATTGAATACAAACATGTAGTACATGTCTCTGTTCAGATATGTTGTCAGTTGTCTCGTTATTGTTGTTTGTGTACAGAACTAACATGTGATGTGCTAATGTTGTTTGTGTACAGAAATAAAATATGATGTACCAATTTCGTTTGTGTACAGAATAACAATATGATGTGCCAATTTCGTTTGTGTACAGAATAACAATATGATGTGCCAATTTCATTTGTGTACAGAATAACAATATGATGTGCCAATTTCGTTTGTGTACAGAATAACAATATGATGTGCTGATATTGTTTGTGTATAGAATTACAATGTGATGGGCTAATGTTGTATGTGTACAGAATAACAATGTGATGTGCTAATGTTGTTTGAGTACAGAATTAAAATGTGATGTGCTAATGTTGTTTGTGTACAGAATAACAATGTGATGTGCTAATGTTGTTTGAGTACAGAATTAAAATATTATGTGCTAATGTTGTATGTGTACAGAATTACAATGTGATGTGCTAATGTTGTTAGTGTACAGAATAACAATATGATGTGATAATTTTTTGTGTGTACAGAATTACAATGTGATGTGTTACTGTTGTTTTAGAACAGAATTAAAATATGATGTGCTAATGTTGTATGTGTACAGAATTACAATGTGATGTGCTAATGTTGTTTGTGTACAGAATAACAATGTGATGTGCTAATGTTGTATGTGTACAGAATTACAATGTGATGTGCTAATGTTGTTAATGTACGGAATAAACATGTGATGTGCTAATGTTGTGTGTGTACAGAATTACAATGTGATGTGCCAATGTTGTATGTGTACAGAATTACAATGTGATGTGCTAATGTTGTGTATAGTTAAACCATGTGTGTCGTGTTATTGTTGTTTGTGTATAATTATACCTTGTGTGTCGTGTTATTGTTGTTTGTGTACAGAATTACAATGTGATGTGCTAATGTTGTATGTGTACAGAATTACAATGTGATGTGCTAATGTTGTGTATAGTTAAACCATGTGTGTCGTGTTATTGTTGTTTGTGTATAGTTTAACCATGTGTGTCGTGTTATTGTTGTTTGTGTATAGTTTAACCATGTGTGTCGTGTTATTGTTGTTTGTGTATAGTTAAACCATGTGTGTCGTGTTATTGTTGTTTGTGTATAGTTATACCTTGTGTGCCGTGTAATTGTTGTTTGTGTATAGTTATACCTTGTGTGCCGTGTTATTGTTGTTTGTGTATAGTTTAACCATGTGTGTCGTGTTATTGTTGTTTGTGTATAATTATACCTTGTTTGCCGTGTTATTGTTGTTTGTGTATAGTTAACCCATGTGTGTCGTGTTATTGTTGTTTGTGTATTGTTAAACCATGTGTGTCGTGTTATTGTTGTTTTTGTATAGTTATACCTTGTGTGCCGTGTAATTGTTGTTTGTGTATAGTTATTCCTTGTGTGCCGTGTAATTGTTGTTTGTGTATAGTTATACCTTGTGTGTCGTGTTATTGTTGTTTGTGTATAGTTAAGCCATGTGTGTCGTGTTATTGTTCTTTGTGTCTAGTTAAACCATGTTATTTCTTGTTAAGGTTGTGTTTGTACAAGTCTACTATTTTATGTCTTGTTATTGTTGTTTGTGTACAAGTCTATCATGTTATGCCTTGTTAATGTTGTTTGTGTACAAGTCTACCATGTAATTATGTCGTGTTATTCTTATCATTATTTTATTAATTTAAGTAGTTTTGTTCACAGCTACCCGATGTTTCGGGGTATTGGTGTTTGTGGTGCGATGTAGTATCATGTAATTGTTGTTTGTGTACAAATACATGTATACCATGTTGCGTCGTTATGTTATGTCTGTTTCTATTTGTAATGAGACTTCCCGACTTTTATCTTACAGCCACAGAATAAAGTCATCTTCGAGTGTGTGCCAAGCAACGTCAATTACACCATCTGGGTAAGTATTAAGACAACTACAAAATCTGAGAAAGTATTAAGAGATCTACAAAATCTGGGTAGGTGTTAAGAGAGCTACAAAATGTAGGTAAGTGTTAAGACAACTACAAAATCTGAGTAAGTATTAAGAGAGCTACAAAATCTGGGTAAGTGTTAAGAGAGCTACAATATGTAGGTAAGTGTTAAGACAACTACAAAATCTGAATAAGTATTAAGACAACTACAAAATCTGAGTAAGTATTAAGAGATCTACAAAATCTGACTAAGTATTAAGAGAGCTACAAAATCTGGGTAGGTGTTAAGAGAGCTACAAAATGTAGGTAAGTATTAAGACAACTACAAAATCTGAGTAAGTATTAAGAGAACTACAAAATCTGGGTTAGTGTTAAGAGAGCTACAAAATGTAGGTAAGTGTTAAGACAACTACAAAATCTGAGTAAGTGTTAAGAGAACTACAATATCTGGGTAAGTTTAAGATAAAACTTCCTGCTCTTAGTAAAAGAAAAAAGAAACTACAATATCTTGAGTATAAATGACAAATACAAAATCTTAGAATTTATTGAATATTGCATTCAAATTCAAAAGGAATTAGGCGACAGGCGTAATGTCTATATAAGTTTTAATGATAACTACAAAATCTGGGTAGGTTTTAATGTCAATTTTTTTCTTCTAGATCATTGATAATGACAACCAAACCAATAAGCAGTGACTACTGATATAAAACACCATTTGTGCCTTCGTTTACAATCAAGCAAGGCTACAATCGGACTGAAATAATAGGATGGGAGAAAAAAAATCATAAAAAGGATGGGAGAAAAATAACCATACTCTACCTGCAAGTTGTAAAAGAGGTTTTAGCTCACCTGACACCTGAGCTTATACCGTGGCGTTGTGTCCGTCGTCCGTCGTCCGTCGTCAATATTTTACTTTAAACAACTTCTTCTTAATAACCACAAGGCATAGGGCGATGATGTTTGGCCAGAGGCATACTTGGATGAATGACCTCCACTCATATTCAAGGTCACAGGGGGTCAATAGTCTTAAAAAAAATAAACAACTTCTTCTGAATAACCAAAAGGGCCAGGCTTATGATATTTGGTCAGAATCATGCTGGAATGAAGGACTACCAGCTTTGTTCAAATAAATGACCTTTATCAATATTCAAGGTCACATGGGGCAAATATGTTAAAAACTTTAAACAACTTCTTTTGAATAACCAAAATGCCCAGGGTGATGATATTTAGCCAGAGGCATGTTGTAATGAAGGGCTACCAACTGTGTTCAAATAAATTACCTTCACCATATTCAAGGTCACAGGGGTCAAACATGTCAAAACCTTTAAATAACTTCTTTTGCATAACCAAAATGCCAAGGCTGATGATATTTGACCAGTAGCATGCTGGGATGAAGGACTACCAAGTTTGTTAAAATGAATGACCTTGACTTATATTCAAGGTCACAAGGGTCAAATATGTTTGAAACCTTAAACGACTTCTTCTGATTAACCAAATGACCCAGGACGTTGATATTTGGCCAGTAACATGCTAGGATAGAGGGCTACCACGTTTGTTCAAATTAATTACATTGATACATATTCAAGGTCACAGGGGTCAAATATGTTTTAAAAAACTTTTAAACGACTTCTTCTGAATAACCATGAGGCCCAGCATGTTGATATTTGACTAGTAGCATGCTTGGTTGAAGGGCTACCAACTTTGTGAAAATGAATAACCTTGACTTATATTTAAGGTCACAGAGGTCAAATATGTTCAAAATCTTTAAACTTCTTCTGAATAACATTGAGGCAAAGAGTCTTGATATTTGGCCAATAGCATGCTTAGAAGAAGGGCTACCAAGTTTGTTAAAATGAATGACCTTGATATATATTAAAGAACACCGGGGTTAAATATGGTAAAATATTTACACGACTTTTTCTGAATAATCAAAAGGCCCAGGATAATAATATCTTGCCATTAGCATGCTATGATGAAGGGCTACCAACTTGGGTTTAATTAATGACCTTCACTCATTTTCAAAGTCACATGGGTCAAATATGTATTAACATTTTTATGACCTCATCTCTATAAACAAAATGTCTAGGGTGGTGAGATTTTGCATTTTGCATGCCTAGATGAAGGGTTATAAAGTTTGTTCAACGTAATGACCTTGTTCAACTTTCAAAGTCACAGGGGTCAAATGTTTTTAAATCTTTTAACGGGTTCTTTTGAAAGACTTATGGTCATAAATATTGATGTTTTGCCTGAAGCTTAATTTTAGATGACTTTTAGGGTAAGAAGTGTGAGATTAATACCAGGTGAGCGATTCAGACCCATTGTGCCTCTTGTTTGGTGTATACAATCAGAACAACCAATCATCTCGAGGGTTGGCGATCTCTCTGTCACATCGTTAAGGTAATGACTGGGGTTAGACAACCAAAACATTCAACCCCGAGAACTGTTTTTTTGTGTTAAACCTTTAAGGTATGGGAATCCCTTTAATCAACTCCTAGAGGAAATAGTCTCCTTTAGAAGTAAACCCGGTCTAGCTTTGTGTCTTCAAACTATTAATGAAATAGCCGTGTTCGCACAGAATATCTGTTCCTGGAAAAGCCGGGTGATATATACCGGGAGTAGATGTGCACGTATGAGAACTGTACACAGAATAACTGTATGTGTACACATGTAACCCGTTTTCCGTATAGCTGTATTTGTATCCCTGTTATTTTCTTGCAGTTGAGACCAGTGGATGTCCGTGAACAATATATAGGGGACCACTTCTTGGAGTCGAAACCGTTCAACATACCAGGTGAAATATTTATTTATTACGCTGTTTAAGATATGAAAACATAGTTCTAGATATGTTTTAATAAATATTATTGCAGCATAGATGCATAGTCTAGGCAATATATAGAGAGAGATAGAAAACGTTCATGTCTTTTTCAAAGACTCTATTCCAATGTTTAAGCCCGTCGAGACAAGACGTGCTAGAGGTTCGATTGTTTGGGATTTAACTTCCTTGCAACAAATAAAGTCATATGAAAACAGGTGCCTAAGGAGCCACCGACGTACAGGAGGGGGAACGAACACAGCTAACGTCACTACCCAAATCGGGACACTTTTTAGATAAATATCAATGTTCTCTATACCATACTATCAGTTCCAAAGATTTTTGTTCATTTTTCATAAAAAGATACTATCCACTTTTCATTTATATTACAAGTTGATATTTCGGGCGCGTGGTTCTAAAAATAAAACGCGAAATACCATCAGGGTTACGTAAGCGCTTGAACCGGCGTAACTTTATCCTGAAAGGAACACTTCGGTATTTTAGCTAATAATTGGGGGTTGACGATCAATATCAGCATAAAAGAAGGCATATTTCAAATAGTTTAGAGTCACAAGGTTATGATTAAATTTTTACTCCACCTAGTATTAGTTTTGATAAAACATACGTTTGAAAATGATATCTAAATAAATAGCGTCGCACGGCACGGCACGTACATCGGGAAAGTTTGGTTTTGGTCATTATTCGTACCTTGAACCTCGTCCATTTAACGATAATCAGCAGCCAATAAAGCTTACATACAGTGAAATTGTCATAAAAGTATTTTGAAATGAGAACTGTATACATAAAAGTACTTCTTTGCATTGAATGACAGTTTCCTGGGCGGTTTTCCCATAAGTGTCCCGTTTTGGGTCCTGTCCCGATTTGGGTACAGTGACGGTACACCTTGTAGACCCGTAGTAGGGCAATGTCACACGCGTTCGATATTATCTGTATCTTCACTTTTCCATTGAATCTTCAGTGAGTATTCCTGAAATTAACTTTAACACTACAGAAACGCACGTTTGCACAATGAAGATGAGATGTGTTTAAACCTTTTCTAACGATATTTTTAATATTTACCGTTGGTCAGTTTTAAGATGTGACTAATAATCAAAAGAAAACTATTACCATATGTATTTTCAGTAAGAAGTTAGTTCCGATATTAATTTGTCGTTTCTTGAAAATGCTCAACGAAAAGAACTTCAGATGTAACGAGAGATAAAAAGACAATTCTCGTTCATGGTGCAAAGTTTGTTTCAATAGCGTTACAAATGACTCGGAGAATAAAATCATTTAATCATGTAAACATGCAGGAAATATAGAAAAACAATTCGCTTACGAACACTGACTTGTCTTCGCGACATCCGTCGCAGGCGAGACAAAAAATACAGCTGTGTATTATTTTGAAAATTAAGACTGGAATGGCCAAAGGAAAGTATCACCAGTTTAGCGATCACAATGTTCCCGGTGACGTTACAATATTAGTTATTACCCCTTTGAGAAAAATATAGGAATCTGATTGGTTAAAAACTACAGTGTACCAAACCGCATTCGTAAATCTCAGGGGGTATACGAAAATCTCAAGGGGTATACGGTCATGTCACGTGATTCTCAGCAGTAATACGGTTGAATCACGTGATTTTACAAGGGTATACGGGTCACGTGTCTTTGTATCTTGCGGTCGGGCATCGGGAGACAACTTGCATTCGTCGTCTGCTTGGCTGTTTACAAAATGACAAAACGTTTCGCTTCGCATACTGATGAGGAAATACTCGCCAAAAGGGCTAACTTTCTGTATACCTTCTGCTAAGGGGACATTGTATAAACCAAAAATGATCTGCTTACCAATTGTAAAATTTGGGATTTTCATTTTTTCTCTCTACGTTCTAGAAATGGGTTTTTTCGTAGCGTTTGCTCGACAATTACTAACTTTTGGTCTTCGTGTTGAGCGTTCGTCAAAGTGACAAAGGCAATTGGTTCTGTCCCCAAGCCGGGACACACTAGAGTCGTTATTCCCTGCTAAACGGTTAGCATTATGGTGATGGCAACAGCTGGTTTACCAGTTGTCAGTATAATTTGTCTGAACGGTATATTGTGGTGCTTTCGACATGGTATTTCAGTGAGTAAGGCTGTTAGTACTCTAAAGTTGACATCGGATCCGGGCTATCTCAAGGTCGTATGTATCAACATGCCCTGTCTCCAGCACACATAAACACATGCAAGCATATATTTCACACATGGAGGCACGTCCGGAAATGACCTAAACTGCTAAAAGAGTGTTAAACCATATAAAACCAAGACGAAACTGTAACTAATTTTCTGCTCCCATTGCATCACTTGGGATCTACAATTGTTAGCTCACCTGGCTCGAAGGGCCAAGTGAGCTTATGCCCGTCCGTCCGGCGTCAACCTTTTACTTTATACAGCTTCTTCTGAAGGTCTAGGGTGTTAATATTTGGCCAGTATTATGCTTGGATGAAGGGATACCAAATTTGTTAAAGTGAATGACCTTTGCCGATTTTCAAGGTCACAGGGGTCAAGTATGTTCAAATCTTTCAACAACTTCTTCTGAATAACCAGAAGGCCCCGGGTGATGATATTTGAACAGAGACATGCTGTTATAATTGGCTACCAAGTTTCTTCAATTGAATGACATTGACTTATATTCAAGGTCACAGGGGGTAAATATGTTTAAAGATTAGAGCTATTTCTTCAGAATAACCAGAAGGCCTAGGGTGGTGATATATGGTCATTATCATTCTGGAATAAAAAAAACTTCAAAGTTTGTTCAAATGAATGACCTTGACATATATTCAAGTTCAAAGGGGTCAAATATGTTTAAAATCTTTCGACAGCTTCTTCTGAATAACCAGAAGGCCAAGACTAAGGATTTTGGGCCAGAAGCATGCTTTGATTTAGGTCTACCAAATGTGTTCAAATGAATGACCCTGATATATATTCAAGGCATTCACCAATTTCTAAGGTCACAGAGGTCAAATATGTTTACAATCTTTAAACAACTTCTTCTGAATAACAAGAAGGTCCAGGATTATACTATTTGGTCAGTAGCATGCTTGGATAAAGAGCTACCAAGTCATTTGAAAGACCTTGACCCACTTTCAAGGTCACATTTGGTCAAATATGTAAAAAAAAACACTTTAAATAACCTTATCTCATTAAACAAAGGGTCTAGGGTGGTGATATTTGGCAAGTCGCATGCTGAGATGAAGAGCTATAAAGTTTGTTCAACGTCAAGGTCACAGGGGCCAATGTTTTAAAATCTTTTAACAGTTTATTTTTAATGACTTATAGACATAAATACTGATATTTTGCCTGTAACTGTATTTTAGATCACTGTTATGGTTACAAGTGTGAGATAAATACCAGGTGAGCGATGCGGGCCCATTGGGCATCTTGTTTTGTTTACTTCCCCAATCTTTTATTTTCGGAAGTGTCACTCAAGGCACGCGTCTCCATATGGCCTTGGCTGACTCGAGAACGTTATACCCCGAACACTCCTTATATAGGCAGTAGAAACTAATACACCAAAAGGATGCACGGAAAGCATGTTAGTACTTAATGTAAAGGCATTCTGTGATGACTTGGAAATTTAAAACAAATTGAGCTATGTCATGTCAATATATTGTTGGTATGTTTATGTAATCAGCAACGCTGTACGAAGTATCCACTTGTAAGCTAACGTAATGTTTATATTATACGTACTTCCATGTGCTTGTACATCACCCGCCAGAAACATGACTCAGCATTATGTGCCAATAAGATAGATTATTGACTACCTTCACCCTTGACACTTATCAGTTGCTATTTGCCTACATATTTCAAAATTTTGAAAGTCGTTCTGTCATGTAAGAAAAATCTAGTTCAAGTATAATTGATTATCTGTTGTGACTAGACTTTATATATTTGTAACATTATGAGGGGTTTATTAGCACCTTTCCCTATTCGGTCTCATATTAAATATTTCCTTTGTTCATATGTTGCCCTAGTTGTATCGATTTTGAGTTCGAATTGCAATTTTGTTGATGTTTCTGTGTTCTCTTGTTCTCTGGTTCCACTTGGAATTTCATTCTTTTACTGATGAGTACTTAATGTAGCTAACTGGATTTCTCTATCGTGAAACAATCAGCTTGAGAGTTAGTTCCTTAAAACGTATTCTTGTAACTATGTACGATATATAATAAAGCAACTGTAACGTATTTCTAGTAACTATGTACAATGTATAATAAAGCCACTGTAACGTATTTCTAGTAATTATGTACAATGTCTAATAAAGCTAATGTAACGTATTTCTAGTAATTATGTACAGTGTATAATAAAGCCACTGTAACGTATTTCTAGTAATTATGTACAATGTCTAATAAAGCTACTGTAACGTATTTCTAGTAATTATGTACAGTGTATAATAAAGCTACTGTAACGTATTTCTAGTAACTATGTACAATGTATAATAAAGCCACTGTAACGTATTTCTAGTAACTATGTACAATGTATGATAAAGCCACTGTAACGTATTTCTAGTAACTATGTACGATATATGATAAAGCCACTGTAACGTATTTCTAGTAACTATGTACAATGTATAATAAAGCCACTGTAACGTATTTCTAGTAACTATGTACAATGTATAATAAAGCCACTGTAACGTATCTCTAGTAACTATGTACAATGTATGATAAAGCTACTGTAACGTATTTCTAGTAACTATGTACAGTGTATAATAAAGCCACTGTAACGTATTTCTAGTAAACATGTACAGTGTATAATAAAGCCACTGTAACGTATTTCTTGTAACTATGTACGATATATAATAAAGCCACTGTAACGTATTTCTAGTAATTATGTACAATGTATAATAAAGCCACTGTTACGTATTTTTAGTAACTATGTACAATGTATAATAAAGCCACTGTAACGTAATTCTAGTAACTATGTACAATGTATAATAAAGCTGCTGTAAC